ATCAGTAATGTGCCACTCTTCACCATAGGGAAGAGATATATTATTGTAGTATAAATGCTGAGACAATAAAAAGATTAAAATACAGTAAATATCTACTAAATCTGAGAGGCCCACTTCATAGCATGTGAGTGTACATGGATCCCAGGGAGCAATGGTGCAGTGCGGAGCCAGAGTGGCATGGCTGCAGGCACATCTCAGCCAAGGATCCACCCCAACCCCAAAGGCTGGGGCACACCCACCCAGCCAAAGGCCCACCTGGAAAGGAGCTGCACAGGCCCACACACTTCAGTCAGAGGCCTGCCCCATAGCATCAATGAGCAGATTGGGTCTTTCTCTGCTTTGGAGATGAAAGTGATGCTTGCTTCCAGGAATGAATTCAGGAGTATTGTTTCCCTTTCAATTTCATTGAAGAGTTTAAACAGTAGTGGCAGTAGTTCCTCTCTAAAATGTCTTGTAGAATTCAGCAGTGAAGTTGTCAGGACCTGGGTAAGTTTTTAACTGTTTTCAATTTTGTTGATTGATATTACATTGTTTAGAATTTTTAGGTCTTCTTTGTTCAACTTTAGTAATTCATATGTATCTAGAAATGTGCCCTTTCTTCTCTATTTTCCATCTTTTTGGAGAATAGATTCTCTTGGTAGGTATTGATGATCCTCTGGATTTCTGCTGGGTCCATTGTAATTTCACCCTTTATATTCTTAATTGCATGGATATGGGTCTCTCTCTTTTTTTATAAGGTTGGCTAAGGGCTTGTTAATTTTGTTAAATCTTTCGAATAACCTACTCTTTGCTTCATTGATGTTTTGTATCATTCCCTTAATCTCCATTGCATTGATTTCTGCTCTGATCTTTATAATTTCCTCCCTTGTATGAGCTTTCAGTTTGTCCTGTTCTTTTTCTAGAAGCTTGAGGTTCAGTATTATATTGTTTATTTGAGCTATCTCTCTTTTCTTAATATGAGTATTCAGTGCTATGAATTTCCCCTATAAGCCTGCTTTCATTGTGTCCCATAGATTCTGATACATTGTATTGTCATTGTCATTTAATTGTAGAAACTGTCTGGTTCTTCTTTAATTTCCTCTGTGACCCATGTGTTATTTAGAAATGTGATGTTCAATTTCCATGTGTTTATGAAATTCTTGTGGTTTCTTTTTCTATTGATCTCTAATTTCATCACACTATGGTCTGATAATATATAAAGGACTACTTCAATTCATTTGCCCTTACTTAAACATGTTCTATGAGCAAGTATGTAGTCTATTTTGGAGAATGACCCAGGTGTACGTGAACAGAATGTGTATTCTGATTTTTTGGCATGGAACAGTCTCTAAACATCTGTTAGGTCCATTTTTCAAGAGTTTGGCTGAGTTCTAGTATTTCATTGTTTATTTTTTGTCTAGTTGATCTATCTATTTGTGATAGTGGGGTATTAAGGTCCCCCACTACAATTTTCTTGGTGTTTATTTGATTTTCCATGTCTGTTAGTATTGTTTTATAAATTCGGTGCACTGGTGTTTGATGCATCTATATTTATGATTGTCATTGTTTCCGTTTGCATTGTTCCCTTTACAAGGATATAGCATCCTTCTTTTCTCTTAATCAGTGTTGGTTAATCTGCAAAGAGCATAGCTACGCCTGTTCTTTATTTAGGTTCGTGTCACATGGAGTATTAATTTCCACCCTTTAACTTTCAGTCCATGAGTTTCTTTTTGAATTAAGTGTGTTTGTTGTATGCCAAATATTGTGGGATCTTGTTTCTTGACCCATTCTTTGGATTTTTTTTTTTTTTTTTTTTTTTTTTTTTTTTTTTTTTTTTTTTTTTTGTTTTTGAGACAGGGTCTCGCTATATAGTTAAGGCTGACCTGGAACTCCCTATGTAGCCTAGGCTGGTCTTGAACTCAGCGATCCTCTTGCCTCCGCCTCCCAAGTGCTGGGATTACAGGCATGCACTACCATGCCTGGACTTCTTTTAAATTCTTGAATTGAGACCATTAACATTGATGGTTATAACTGATATGTATTGACTTATCCTTGTCATGACTTTTTCTTTTTGTTGCATTCTCCCACTTTGTGTTTAAATCCTTGATTTCCCTTACAGATCTATTCTGCTCATCTTCCTGGGGTTGTGATCCTCATCTCTTCCTAGGATATTGTTTAACAGTTTTTGGAGTGCTGATTTAGTATTCATGAATTCATGGATATGGAAACACACATTCACTTCCTTGCTGGTGGGACCTATCTCTTTCTCAAGAGGTAGACTAATTGTGGTGTTTTTACATTTTTCATGTTAATGTTCTTAATTAACATGGATAATTGAGAAATATATATCTATATATTTTTCCATTCTTACAGATGTAAAAGCACTGTTCTCTTTCCTGAAAACACCAAACAAGGTGTGATCAACCCTGATGAGAAATAATGTAAAATGAAGATGAGTAGAACATGGTTGTAGTCATCATTTGGAAAAAAATCTGGAAATAAGAGTTTAAGTCTTGCAGTTCAATTTCTAGCCATGCCATGTATTGGTTCTTGAAGGTGATTTATACGTTACGGAGGTGAACATAACCAAAAGAAGCACAAATCTTTTTATTAAGACAGGCTTTCTTGACCCACTTCCCTTGACTTCCAGGACTTCTGTGTCCACTGATTTTTGTAAAATGCTGACTTTGTTATGTAATGGTCTCAACAATAAGTCTTCTCATCATCAATAATAGTTAACATCAGCTGGACACTTCCACTCACATTTCTTTGTCTCAGAAGCTACATTGCGAACATTTTCAAGGGCGACTTACTTTGTACCACTGTATTCTTAGGCTGACTGAGCAGCCAGATGATTTTGTCTATGTAGATTATTTAATGAAGCTTAATACAATAACTATTCTGTCTTTATTTTATTTACTTTTAGCTATTTGTATAATATGAAGTAATTTTCATTTAAGGAGTAAAAATGATTAACAAATCATTTTCCATTGATAACAGCTTAAATACTCTAAAAGCTATGACACATTCAACTTGTTCATCCATCAAAAACTCAGGTTGCTAACTCTGCAACAGTTAAGACTTCTGTTTTTTGTTGTCACTCATAATTGCTCAGAAATTCTGTCTTGTACCATCTAATGATTATAAATAGATAAAGATGTATATAGCACCCAGGAAGAGATAAACTAATGGCAGGAAGATGGCCTTGAACTATCCTTTCACTTTCAGTCTATGGGCTTCTTTTTGCAGTAGGTGTGTTTCTTGTATACAACATAATGTTGGATTTTGATTCTTAATCCATTCTGCCAATCTGTTTCTCTTGATTGGTGAATTGAGGCCATTGACATTGATGGTTATAACTGATATATACTGAATTATTATTGTCATGTTATTGTCCTTTTGTTGACTCTTTTTTACTTTTTCTCCCTCTCCTTTTAGTTTCTTGCCTTGCCTATTTGATTTGCTCTGTTGGGCTTCATGGTGTTGTGACCTTCATTGTCTTTTTCTAGGATATTGTTTACAATTCCTTGTAGTTCTGGCTTGGTATTCATGAAGTTTCTCAGGTGTTCTTTGTCATGGAAGTATCTTATTTCCCCATCCATTTTGAAAGAGAGTTTTGCAGAATACACCAGTCTAGGTTTGAGGTTATCTTTTAGGGCTTGACATACCTCACTCCAGGCTCTCCTTGACCTAAGGGTTTGTGTTGAAAAGTCTGCTGTGATTCTGATGGGCTTTCCTTTGCATGTGATTTGTTTCTTTTCTCTTACTGCTTGTAGTATTTCGTTCTTCTGTTGGGTTTCTGGGATCTTGATTATTATATGTCTAGGTGTAGATTTTTTTTTTTAATCGTGGCTAGTTGGAGTCCTATGTGCCTCACTTATCTGTATGTAAAATTCTTCCCCAAATTTATGCATAAACTATTTTTTCAGTGACCTGTTTTAGAGGTTTAAAGAATATATGTGGAAGATCTCACCTTGAGAAATATAAGAAAAAAACCTTTGAACCTTTTATTAAAACATGACTTTAGTGTGGAACACAAATATGGAATACATAGACTTGAAAGATAGGATCTTAACAAGATCCTATTAAAATGATTAAACTCTTCAAAGAATATCTAAAATAATATTTGGCTTATGTATGCATACATTACACACACTTTATATATGTATATATAGATACATATATGTATACATATACTCTGCATATTTATATGTATACATGTAAAGAGATAGCTCTCTATATCTGGAGAGAGTGAAAGAGACAGACAGACAGACACAGATTGATTTATATTGATGTATAAAGTAAGCCAGGAAACAAAAGTCTTGCTAAAATAAATTAACTCATTTACTCTGTAAGAAACAAAACTGATTGATATCCTACCAAGTAGTAAAAGAATAACCTTTTGGGTTTTCTTTTCTGAGAGAAATCATCTGCCCCTCTAATAGAAAAAAAAAATCTACGCCATTGACAAGTAATTCATAAAAACTGGTCCTTAATGAAAAATCATTTGTAAACCAAATAATATCCTCTTGAGAATTAGATAGTCTTTGGGTAGTCCTATTAGAAGTGTTCCAGTACAATATTGAAACACCATACAATGACTTTGTCCTACCTAGAATGTGGTACAACTTTCTGTAACAGTACCAGTTTCTTTCATCAGTATCTAAAGGGTGATTTGTGTCTTTCTAACAGTACCATGCTCCAGTGAAAGTATGCATTACTGCATTAAAAAACAACTTCATTTCAAGATTTTCCCAGGGTTCTGCAGAATTTTAATGTCAGGGGAAGGGCCTTTGATTTTTGTAAATATTTCGACAGCAAAGATCCCAAGAATTGGCTATATATTAATATAATTATTGCCAAGAGGCTCTGAAATACCTTCCTATATTATACTGAAAATGTATCATAAAAATTAGGTCTAAAATGTACAGACATTCATTATGTATATTTTTTATAAAATTTATGAGTATTCCCAACTTGTGACCTACTTTATTTTGCTTTTCCACTTTCTTTTTGCCCAGATGACGTTTTGTTGGGATAATTTGTGCCCATTGGAGTTCTTTACTTCAGGATCACCTTCAGCCCTCAAAATTTAAAATGGTGTTCTCAGGTTGCACAGGACAGTATTTTGTTGATCTCAAAAGGTACATTTTCTCTTTCAATGTAAAAGTAGTATATGTGAGTTCTAAAGTTTGAGTGCAAGATTTATTTGAAGTAATATCCTTTCCTCAATACAGTTGAAAGCATAACTCCATAAGGTATTGTTTCCAGAAAGAAATTATATTAAAAATATTGCAATAAAAGACTAAAGAATAGCATACTGAAGGGCATATGTGGAAGTTTTTGCCTTGGAAGTTAAAGAAAGTAAGTAATTTTGTTTAGAAAAAAATGTAGCTATGACTGAAAACCAGGGAGAGAAACGTAAGAATTTAACACAAAATTGATTTTTGATTGCTAATAGTTTACATATAAAATCTCAAATCACCAGCACTTCACATACTCCTACATTTGCTTTTGTAAAAAAACAAACAAAAAAAAACCCTAAAACTAAAAAAATTAATTTTGGGTTTACAGAAAAATAGAGATAAGAGTACATCCATTTTGTCTTATACTTTGCACACATTTCCTTGGGTTATAGCTCTCAGTAAGAGCACAATCAGTGAATATTGATACATCACTAGCTGAAGTCCATACATTATTCAGATTTCTTTCATTTTAACCCAGTATTTTTTTCTGTTCCAAGATTTCATCCAGGATGCCATATTACATTTAGTTATCCTGTTTCCTTATGCTCTACTTGGCGGTGCCAGATTCTCAGACTTTCCTTATTTTGGATGGCCCTAACAGTTTTGAGCACTGTCTAGGAATCGTGGTCAGGGATTTTTATAGACTGCTTCTCTATTATAATGTGCCTGATATTTTTCTCATGAGTATGCTAAGATAATGAGTTTTTGGAAGAAAGACCACAAAGGTAAATAAAGTACCATTTCCACCTCCTTCTATTAAAAGGACTTCCTAATATATCTCATCATTGTTGATGCAAACCTTGATTACCTCCCTCTGCAGTGTTCGCCAGGTTTCTCCCCTGTAGTTTCCCGCCCCACTCCTTTCTTTCTACAGTGTATTCCTTGGAAGTAAGTCAATAGTACAGTCCACCCTGATGGAGAGTGGAGCTCCCCCTTCTCTACAGCAGATGTGTGAACAAGTTATTTGTTTTGTTTTGTTTTTTGGTACTGGGGATCTAACTCGGGACCTTGCACTTGTGAGACAGTCGCTGGAACCACTGAGCTAAATCCCCCGCCCTGTGTACAAATTATTTGGAATATTTCTGCATGGGAGATTATTTACCTCTTCTGTTCCATTTATTAAATATTCAATCATTTAGTTCTAAAAGTGTGGACATAGGAATGTTTATTTTAAATGGTATAACTGTTTTTGTTTGTCATTTGTTTTTGCTTTTAATTGCTCATATGGTTGCGGCTTTGGCCATTGGGAACTCTTTCAGTTTGCTTCTGTCCCTTTCATGCCCTCACCATGTAGGGGTGTTTTTGTTTTAAAGCACATCCATGCTTTTTTGTATTTTAAAATGTTCCACACTCGTCTTGTCTATTTCTGCTCCAGCCTTAGAACCAGCCATTTTTGTAAGGGGCTCTGGTTACTTTCTATTGGAAAATGCTATTAGAAACTAAGATCTGGGCCTTGGGTGTCCTCATTGAGTCTAGCTGTCTTAGCTGACAGAAAAAGAAGTATGTATATGTATATGTTTATTAACCATTGTGTATACACACATCAATAAATATTTCTACATATCAATATTTGTATTTATAGTAAGCTAAACATGACTTCATACTACTATCTCCAACTCTAATTCAAATTTTTATTAAGAAAAGGAGTTCTTGCTGGGCATGGTGTACGTGCCTATAATCCCAGCACTCGGGGATCAAGGCAAGAGAACTGCTGCAAGTTTGAGGTCAGCCTTGCCTACATCGTGAATTCAAACCCAACCTGAACTACAGAATAGTGAAAACTTGTCTCAAAAAGAAGAAAAGAAAAAGGATTATTTTTCATGTAAAGTTACCCTGAATTACAATTTTGAGTTTTGGATTAACTGTTTTGCTTTCAAAAATTATTATAGTAGCCTCATTTTATGCCTTGTATCCCTTTTTATTCCACCCAGGCTAAAAGCCTATTGGTTGGTACTACACACACAACCAATAGTAGGTCTTTCCATTATTCACACTTAACCAATTGGTGGACTAATTCAGTTATACCTGTGATCCAGTATCACACACCCATAATCCCGTCACTCCCAAAAGACCCACCTGGGAGCATATGAGGCTTTGTGGGACATTTTAGATATAAACCATAACAAGTGATTTGATTTAAGGGATTTACGTGATTCAAGTATTAGATAGAAGAAAATAATACTAGATTAGGTAAGAGCTTAATTTAGAGAATCTGTGATATTATAATAGTAATTTGTATGACAATTCTAATCCAAATAAATTCTCATCCAACAAATGTTTTATGAAGAAAGGTCTAAATATTATATTACTAATTTCTTGTTTTGTTTTTTGTTTGTTTCTTTCTGGAGACAACTTACTATGTAGTTCAAGCTGACTTTAAACTTACTGTGGAGTCCTACCCAAACTCACAATGATCTTTCTGCCTCAGCCTTCCAATTTCTGAGATCATAAGGTGTATGCCACCATACCTGGCTACTAATTTCTAATTAAGGATAATGATTAGCACCTGTTAACTATATCCTGTCCCACTGATATTATGTTAGTGTCTATGAGGACATTTTTAGGTGCCAGGAATGCTTGAACTCAAGTACCCTATCCCCTTTCCTAAATCTTTGTCAATACAAATAAAGCAATGATGGGACTTATTGCTTCGGTGTGAGTTTCTAAACAGACTTGTTTGCTGTATGACTCTGAATTTGGTGTGTGCATGTTATTTAAAAAGGACACATAGGATTTCGAAAGGGACCAGAGCAACTTTTCTTACAGAACTGACCAGAATCAACAGGAAAAATCATATAGCATTTTTACTCAATTGTGCAATATTGATTCAATATATTTGACTTTGAACTGTTGTTGACGTAGACCTATGTCACAGAAACTGATGTACTGTAAGTGCCACTGTAATTACCTAATCCTGAAGTAAAAAGACAAGTATTTATTCCAGCTGACTAGTCAGTTTTTAGTGAGAGTTGCTCGATTTGCATTTGTAAACTTTATCATTGCATTGGTTAGGGAGATAGTTTTCACAGAAAGTCTTCCCCTCCCTTCATATCCCTATGCGAGTCAATCTACAGTTCCTTGGACTAATTATCTGAGAGTTAGTTATTCCATTATAGTGAATGACATGGCCCTAGCCTGTACAGCCTCATTTCTTTGGTTGGGATAAATTTTCTCTGTCTTGCCCAGCAATGAATTCACCTGATCTCTCACAGCAGTGGCTTAGAATCTCTTTTTCTTTGTTCAGACATAGCAGTGGAAGAGGCAGGCAACAACACTGAAAACTAGGGAAGAATGATGTACTTATGCTACAGACATAAAACAACTTGTGTTAGATATGACAGTGATGGGGCAATATTGAAGGTCCACCTGGAATTCATTATAAGTCCCCTCCTAAGGGAGCCATCTGATGCCTTTGGATTAAGTAGAGGAAACCCTGAAGAATTCCACTCGGCCCCCAAACTGGACTTTTAAAGGATATGACCAGGTTGTATTGTGAGATGAGTGAGTGTAGGTGGGGGCAATGAGGGTCACTTCGCATCTTGGTGGGAATACACAAAATACATTAGAAAGCAACCATTGTTACAGAGCATTTTGAAGTGGCATTAATAAAAACATCTTAGCTGGGCGTGGTGGTGCACTACTGTAATCCCAGCTCTGGGGAGGCTGAGGCAGGAGGATCGCTGTGAGTTCGACACCAGCCTGGGCTACATAGTGAGTTCCAGGTCAGTCTCAACTAGTGAGACCCTGTTTCAAAAAATCAAAAAGAAAAAAACAACATCTTATCTTAGATAAATTCAAGATGTGGCCTTAAGGAAATCCAGGAACAAAATTCATTGCAATAATCTCTGACACACCTTTGACACAGGAAGAGCAGAAAAGAGGAATAAAAGTATATTTAGTAAACATTAAACACAAGGAGTTTAAAAAGAACAAGGTCAAGGTCCAAGACAATAGAAAAGATAAATTAATAAAGAATATATCAGATATAAGAAAAATACTTCAAAAAAACCTACAAGTTATTTCTTCACTACTGGAGCACATGTCAACATAAATGAAAGTCATTGACATTAGAATGAATGAAAGAAGCTGAATTTTAGGAAGAGCATACATTTTCTGATTACATTTATACTAGATTTTATATCAGGAAAAGCCAATAATTTTTTTCCTACTGAGTGTGGGTAAGTGAAGAAATCTAAGGATTGTCACCCCAAAATATGTCACATTAGTGCAGATTTCCAATGGTTCCTCGGTTCACAAACTCGATTCTTTCCACGATTCTGGTTGCAACTGAGTTGGAAAAGAATGGAATCAAATTGAAAGTTGGATTCAACACGGACCTTATGCAGAATTTGATTCACTTCTCTTCTAGTGACCATTTTTGCCTCTTCTGATCAGATTTGGCTTGAATTATACTTTTTATGATCAGATTTGGCTTCAAACACTTTTTTTTTCCCAAATCCTCATGGCCTTTAAGTTTTATTTTCAGAAGTCTGCAGTAATTCTAACTGGTTTAACTTTATAAGTAATGTGTTTCTTTTCTCTACCGTTACTGAATTCTATCCTTGTGTTGTCCATGTGGAATTTTGGCTATGATGTGTCAATGGAGTTTTTTTTTTTTTTCTTGTGGCTCTTTGGGGTTTATGTGCATCACACATCTGTGTGTTAAATTCTTTCCTCATATTTAGAAAGTCTTCTACTATTAGTTCAGTAAACAAGTATTTTATACCCTTTGTGCTATCTTCAGATTTTTTTACTACTTCCAATTAATTTTAAGTTAGTTCAATCCCTGGTACCAAAAAAACAAAAACAAAGACAATTAATTTTAAGTTAGTCTTCTAGGAATCATCTAGTAGCATTTTGACCCATTTTTAGTGTTGGTTTGTTGTCTTAACAAATGC